GAAACCTCGTGAAGTGAAGGGCTTTGTGGGAGGGTCTAGCAGAGTTCAAGGTGGGATTGCACTAGGATGGCTATCAGACTTTCGGGCCTAAGGAACTTTTCAGCGCTGTCTTCTTCTTCTTTTCTTCTTCTGCACGCTTGTCTGGCTCTGTCTCATTTCTCTCGCTCTCCGTCCATCCTTCCCTTCTCCTGGTCGTAACTTAGAGGTTTGGCTATTGCAGTCGCTAAACCCTAAACCCTAAACCCTAAACCCTAAACCCTACACCCTAAACATTGCATGGCTGTCTTGGAATCCTTTCAACACGTAGCGTGTTCTAGGGATCCACCAGCTCGGCAACGCGAAGAGCCATGAAGAAAGAACCCCTGTGACTTCCTTTGCGCCGAGCCTCGACACCTACGTGTACGTCCCTCAACCCTAAGCCCGAAACCCTAAACCCTAAACCCTAAACCATCCCCGGAAGCCTCGGCTGACTCTGGCTGACGCCCCTGGGCCAGTTCCTGCGCACAGATGAGTCTCCGGGATGCTTTGGGGTTTCGTCTCACCAAGGGTTTAGGGTTTAGGGTTTAGGGTTTAGGGTTTAGGGTTTAGGGTTTAGGGTGTTGCACATAATTAGCTTCGCCTTGTTGCTCCACTTCGTGTCGAGGAGCTTGCTGCAGGGGCTGTAGCAGCCTGAGACCTCGCGTGCCCAAGCATATCCAAGCACACGGACTGGTTTCAGCAGTTCGCAGACCTATGCAGCATAGGCTCCTGGTGGGTGAGTGGATTGATTGCCCGCAGATCTGCAGTAAGACCTGGCACACGCGTCGCCAAGCCAAAATTCGACCTGGGGCTCCTCCCTTCTCAACCTTCTGACATTTCTGGCTACACCGTGTAAACCCCCGTCAACTCCTATGCAGTCTAAAGAAGCATGGAACTGTGAACTTCCGTGAACCCGCTGCTGCCCGGTGGCCGGCCGCCGTGAGGTGCTCGGCTCTGGGGCAGACATTCAACGACAAAGAAGAACAGTCCAGTACCTCTTTCGGCCATCCTTTAAGTCTTTCACCCATCGTTGTTTTTCGTATTCGGCTAGGCATGAAGTCAGATGAAGTCAGATGAAGTCCTATGTCTGCCACCACCTCCTTCGGCCCAACACTCGCCCCACACGAGCAAAACCCCATCTCTGAACCCTTAATCTCCCACGCCCATGCCAAACATCGGAAGCAACACAAAACAACCTAAGCACCTAAAACCCAAGATCGCTCAACCCTGAGCCCTGAGAGCCCTGAGAGCCTTGCCCGAAAGCCCCCCAAAAAACAAGAAACACATCTTGGCCTCGACCTTCTCGTCCTTGTTTGTTCGGCCTTGGTGCGTTTGTGCTTCTCAATGAGTCTTTCGGAGGGCCCCTTTTTTTGCTCAGAGGATGCTGAAAGTTAGCATCAACTCAACAACTATGATAAAGGAGAACCGAGGCCGGAACCTCAAGTCAAGGATCTTCTCCAAAATTGGTGCATTCACTGTGCTCCGCAGGTGCGAACTGCTACTTATAGGTTAAGGGTTTTTTTTGCCACCCGCACTGCAGACGCCGAAGCGTCGCTCCGCAGGATCGACACCCCTTGTAGCCCCGAGCTGGCGATCCTTTGGGGGTTTAGGGCAGATAGGTTCAGAATAGACATAGTCAGGCTGCTTCATGCAACTCCTTATATATGAAAACTAGGAAAACCAACCCATGCCTTTCTGCGAATGGGCCACAATCTCCGCTTGCCTCAAACTTGACAGGGAGAGTCCAGCCGTCAACCAAGCTGAGATCCACATAGTCGCACCCCTTCCTGGCCAAAAGCATAAAACCGCTTTCCCCTTTCTCATTCTTCGTCAGGTTTTGGGGGCTGGTTGATGTAGGAGGGAGATCTGAGTCTTCCGTGTTCAGTGGCCTTACAGCCCTCATCCCTCGTCTTTGGGCGGTGCTCGGTTTCTGCTTTGCCCAAGATTGGGTCCCCTTTTTGGGGTCCACCATGTAGTACGGCACCCGTAAAAAAAACGTACCGCCAGTGGAGAACCGACCGCATGATGGTACAAAGCCCACGCCATCAGCGCCAAGCCAAGCTTCATCTCAACGCCTCCGGGTGTCTGGGGATTGCAGGGCGCACCATTCTCGCCATAGCTCCTCGGCAATTTGTCCGAGCTTCTCAACAGCAGTTAGGGTGTTTTTGGAGGCAGCTTTCGCTCTGAAGAGGCGGGCTGAAGCTGAGTCTGGGGCATGTCTTGGCTGCATCAGCAAAAAGTCATAAACATGTGAATCCAAAAAGGACTTGGATTATTTTGCTTGCAGTGAGAATGTCGCAAGAACATGCAAAAACCTGAGTGCTCCTGTGGCGCCCATTTCCTGCATGTCATGTTGTCAAAGCCATAGTCGTCGTGATTGTTTTTCTTGTCTCGCTGGTGCGCTTCGACTTGCCTCGTACTGCTGCTACCGTTGGTACTACTGTTGTTACTACTGTTGTTACTACTGTTGTTACTACTGTTGTTGCTACTGTTCTTTCTACTGTTGCTGGGACTGTTGCTGTGTTGGTCCTACTGTTCCGTTTGTAGGCGAGGTTTTCTTACCCGTTCTTGCCCACCCACCCCTCTCTTCCAAGTTGTTCCAAGCGTCGCTTCGAACTTGGTGTCCACAGGTGGATGGCAGTTGCTGTAGTCCTCCTGGCAGTTGTTGACTTTGGCGGCTCTACTGCAAGATGGTTCAACAGGCCGCTCGGAAAGCATCGCAGACTCGGAAGGCTTCTTATGGTCCCCCAACATCAACAAACTGCCTCACAGAAAGCAGAGCCCCAAGGGGCGCAGCCTGCCCAGTCACAGGATTCCACTGACATTTCTGGCCAGGCCCGCCGCTGCTCCCAATCTTGCCTCGCATAGAGGGATGTGGAATGGTAGGCGCTCCCATCAGTATTCTTTGCTTGAGATTCGCATAGGCTGGCCATGCCAAGTGGCAGTTGTGGCCAGACTCATCGCAACCCATCCTCTCTTCGAGCAGAGCACTCAAGGAGGCGCGGAGCAGAGGCGCGGAGCAGAGAGAATGAGAGGTTGCACAATGTGCAGGCTAGGAGCTTGGGCCAGTAGCGCAGGGCTGACAGATGGCTGGGTGTTTCGAAGTCATAGAAACTCCCAGGAGCTATCCGGACCTGTCAACGTGAGACAGAACCCTCTTCCAAGCCAGATCGCTGTCCCCTCCCCTTCTCGCCACAAGTGCTCATGAACACCCTGAACGCCCGTGTTGCAAAGTGGCATTCTGCGGATCAGGTCCCACCGAAGCTCCTGCTATGTGGGCGATCCACATCCTCAGAGCACCAATGCTTAAATAAGTTCCATCAAGAAAAGAAATTTTAAGAAAATACTAAAATTTAGAGAACTACCCATACTATGTTGATGTTAACATCTTCGTTTTCGACAAGCTGCGGCTGGCTGGTGCAGCCATTGACTATCCTCAGTGGCTAGCGGGATTTATTCATTGGCAACCTGCGCAAGCATCTGCAACCCGAAGGAGACTTAAATGAGCAGCACGTGACATGCGAAAGTGTCTGCGGCCATGCGGCCGGAGCCGTCTGGCTTGGGACGACTTGCCTGACGTGACGAGGCCCTTGATGGGTGCAGGTCTTTGCGAGGGGCCCCGGGGAGAAACTTAAGGCCAAGGTGCGTACTGTGCACAACGACTTACACTAGCAGAACACTTTGTTGCCAAGACTTCGACAACCTTCCGAAGGTTGAGCACACGAAGCTCTTCAGACAAGCGAAAGCATGCCAGGGGCACCAGACGCGACTTGCGCCATGGCCTGAGCCAGCACAATGGAAAGATCCCTGTTGGAGCTGCTTCCCCCGTCCTATTGCAAGGAAGCCCAACATGCTTCGGGTACCAGCTTGCTTGGCCATTCCTGGAAAGACACGAGTGCTGAACCCTGAGCCCGTCTGCGCGCCTCGGTGCTGTTGTCTTCGTCAGCCCTCCTGGGCACACCACGTAGCCTTTGTCTGAGTCGAACAAGATCTAGGGGCTTTCAACTTTCATGAGCAATACTGCAGACGATGTGATTTCATGCCCCTCACATGTACCAAAGCATTACGTCAGACAGACTGTGGGGACCCCGTCTCAGGCTGCCATGAGGCTGCGTCAAGGAGAGGTCACACCGGCCTGGCAGCAACCCAAGTTGGAGGACAGTCACCAAACCACAACAAATGCTGCTACGCTATGCTCCATATCTCTCACTTCAGATCGCAAGATGCTCCCAAAGTCCCCAGTCCCCGAGGTTTGCACCAGCCTGTCTCGCCACTGATGCAGTCATCCTTGGTCCATCGAACGCAACATGTGCAGGGCCAGAACCCCGCGAACCTCCCGAAGACGGGCATTTACGTTCTGGGCATGAGGAAACAAAAAAAAAAATATATATATATATATATATATATATATACAAGTGCAACAACAAAAGTGAAGAAGACGTTGTAGAATGCAGAATGTGCATATTACTCTTGCATCCAAGATGCATCTACTTCCAACGCCTGATCTTGCAGAGTAGCCATGACTGTGGAAAATGCCGCCAGTATCAACGCCATGGCTTCTCCTCGGCGGCAAGACCAGGCCATGTCTCGATGAAGCGGGGCCGCCTGCCCTGCAGGTAGGAAGCCTTTGCTGCTACCTGCCTTTCTCAAAAGTATAATGTGGCTGCGAGGCAGGGATGCGCTGGCAGATCAGGCCTTCGTGAATTGTGCCATCCCTTACATCTCCACCTCTACACCTCATAACTCATAACACCCAGCACAGCAGCCGTGTGGTGGAATACTTCTCTGGACGTCACCTGAGCCCAACTAGAGTTGCTGGCCTTCAGCATGCTTCCTAAGCCTTGCTCAATCTTCCGCTATGGCTGCCATCTATGGGACGCCCCGATGACCAATCCCAGAAGCCCACATGTTAAACTCTTGTGAAGCCCAAGCAAACCCTGAGCCCTTCTGAGCCATCTTTGATCACCTGCCCCCCACGACGCCTCTCTGCTTCGTCACCTCGCTGCCGCTTCGCGGGAGGAGTCTGACTCTGACCTCAGCTAGGGCATTCCACCATATTCCCTATCTAAATAAACAGGATGGGTACCGTCGGGTGGCTTGAGCCCGGAAGCGACTGGCCTGACAAGGCCTGAAGGCTTCGTGGATTCAGAGGCTTCCAAAGCCTAGCCTTACAGCGCGCCAGGGGCAAAGGGTCCAGGAGACTGTCGTCACGCACGCCAGGAATGTGCATAGTGCACTTCCTTGCTAGGAACCCGTTTCAGTAATTACTTTTGTGTGAATATCTATGATGTTCGTGTGTATATGTATATTGAAGGCAAAAACTGAGAGCTTTGCAAATTTCCTTCATTAACCGTGCTCAGGCACAGAACTTCCAGTGACAAATTTCCGCGCATGACTACGGATGAAAGCTCATTCTTCGTGTGCATGTCCCTGTTGAATCTATTCAACAGTGGAGCCTGAGTATGCAGTTCCTTCTCTCGGCCTATTGAACTCCTTGCGAAACTTAGGCCTCTACATCAGATGCCCGAGCTAAGACTGTAGCAGCTGTAAAGTTCTTTCGGGGAATACTGGCTTCAAGCCAGCGCTCTGTGAAACTGGGGCGGCTCTGTGCTTTGGCTTGGGGTGGATTCCCCCCCCACCGCCCCAAGCCCCGCAGATCAGCCGTTCAGCATAGCATCCACAGTGGAAAGTCTCTCTACTATGTGGTGTGTGTGTGTGGTTCTGTGTGAGTCCAGTCCTTTGGAACAGGGCTTTCATGCCATGTTGATTTGGGTTTCGAGAAAGATGCAGGTTCGACGGGCATTCAAAAGCCGAGGATCCTTGGCCGCATGATTCGACATGAGTTGGCTTCGTGACGAATTAAGGTACAACTTGAACTTAGTTGGATTGATCATCAGAATGTACAAACCATGAAATTTCAACCACACCGACATCAACACACAAAGAAGAGCCTCCCTCAGGAAAGAGATGAAACGAGCTTCTGCTGCCCGTTGAGCTTCCCACCGGCACCCATCCAAGAGAACAGCTTCTTCCTGTGCAAACGGCTGTTGTGGTGGCTATTGAGAGGCTATTGTGCGAGAGGACGTCATCCGATGAGCGAAGGCGGCTTGCACTTCCGCAAGGCCCGCGCTGCTTCGGGTTTCTTTCAACCTTGCGCAAGGCCACTCAAACCAGTGCTCGCACATGCTCCCAACCCTTGTTGCATCCGGGCTTGGGGAGTCGGCCGGGAATCAGGATGCTGCCATGCTCCCAACCCTAAACCCTAAACCCTAAACCCTAAACCCTAAACCCTAATGTTGACTTCACAGTAGGAATTCCCGCCGCAATTATAAAATCCAGCTGCCAGAACACAATAATGTAGCCCGCCACAATTATAATATCCGACCCGGGAATTTTTTCTAAAAGTGATCCCCCAGAGGCTCGCAGTAGAGGCTCACTTAGCCCACTGTGGTGGCCCCGGGACAGCTAGACCTACCAGGATTTAGGCGAATATAATTGAGGAGGCCCTGGCCGGAGAGATTGATCAATCAAGGGGGGGGGGGTTTATTAATGCGAAGTCAACATTAAACCCTAAACCCTAACAAGGCGCCTTCACCTTCACCTTCTTTTCAGGAGCTTGTTCCTTGTCCTTCGTGTTTGCCTGGTCATGGGTGTTTGGGGGCAACAGCTCTGAATAAAGACATCCGCGGAGACGTTTAGAAGCTGTTTAAGTGCCGCACAAAGAACTTGTGGAGCGTCGATGGGTCCACATTCCTTAGACATCTTAGACGTTGCATGTGGGCGCATGCGGATCGGCTCTCCACACGACGTGGCTTGAGGCCTCGGCTCCTTCCCTTTCTTGGAGCCCTTCGCGTCCTTTTTGACTCCTTCTTGCGAACTGCAACCCAACCATCAGCACACAATGGAGTCCACAGATCGGAACAGCCCTCAATGGTGCAGCTTTGCCAAGGGCTCGGCCTGGACGCGCCGACGACTTCGCCTACCCGACTCCACTGGTCCACAAGTAGTTTCTTCGGGTCTTGGAACGCGTTGCTTGGAGAAGTATACAACATCCAACACAGACCTGGTGCATCCGGACAATCTTTCTGCGGAAATCACGGGCCGCAGCCACGCACAAGAAACCACGTTGAAAACTTAACATTTCTTCTTCTTCGCCGTCTCTTTTAGGCACTGAGCTAAAATTCACATTCTGGACGGCTTGAGCTCCACCAGCCCTCTGGTGCCTGAAGTTTCTTCTTGCTGCCCTGTTGAGCATCCGATCTCATCTTGCCTCAAAGTTTGGCTTCGTGGTGTATTTACGCCTCCAGCTCCAAAAAGAATATGCGCCGCCACATGCCTGTTGTCCGAGCGCACTGCTGGGAAACACGTCCGGGTGCTTCTGCTGCCAGACCTGCAATTGAGCAAGGCACCTTAAGGCCCAGAAACCCTAAACCCTAAACCCTAAACCCTAAACCTTAAACCCTAAACCCTAAACCCTAAGAACCCTAAGGGCCCTAGGGGCAGAAAAACCCTGAAAGAAGCCCCTTAACACCCTCAAGTAGATGAGCAAAAGCAACCGACCCCTGCCTCGAACTGCAGCCTTGCCAAGACGAAGGCCATCCTCCAACAACCCCAGGTCTTCACGTTGAACCTCAACATTCAATTTGAATTTTAGGGTTTAGGGTTTGGGGTTTTTTTTTTGCCACCCGCTTAGCTGACCTCTCGGACACTCTGCAGGGAACTGGCGATAGAAGTGTATGGGGGTGTTGTTGGAGTTGCCGCTTTGTGGGTTGAGTGGTTGAGTCCACATTCAAACCCCACTAAAGGTTAAAGGCCAAGCTCAGTCGATAACCAAGGACAATCCCCTCAACCCAGTCACAACTCATCAAGCCTCGCAAGATGAAAATGAAAAGTGTTCAGGGCAATCTCTCAGGGTTCAGAATCGACAACACCAAAAGACACTAAAATATAAGCCCTACAAACAAGAACAGACCCAAACCCCGAGGGCCCCAGGATATAGGGTCATCCAGGCTCTAGCAGACAATAGCTTCATCGCCTGCATCAAGCTCATGTACAGCGGCTGTCCCCTATTCCTCCGGACAGATCTTACATGCAGATTCAGCAGAGCGGACATGACGAACTCTCCCCAAACACAAAAACTCAATCAAGGCAGCAAGCCAAAAAGTGTAAGATAGCACTCCAATATGTCCACTCCAAAGGGTCCTCGAAGATCCTACTCCACAGTTCCTAGCCAAATCAGGCTAGTTCGTCGTATGAGATTCCAGCTGGCACCACACCAACCCAACCACCACATTGATCCAACAGATGAAACACGCACCAACCCCATCACCCCGACCACATGGATCCACACAGCTGAGAACTCAACCAGGAATCTCAAGCTCCCATCTGCCCGGCTGTCATCACGTGAGCCAGGGTGGGATGTTAGAAAGGCCTTCATCTCTCTACTTGGAGTTATTTTCTCGAGACACAACAAACACCATAACAAAACCACAGGACAAAGTTATCAGTAGCGATCTAGCAAAGCGTTTCACTGCACACTCTCCGAGCACATGGATGGATCAGCTACAGACTGTGATATGGCGGTGGAAAGTCCGGTTCACTCAGCAACCCAAAAACCACATAGATCCGAACGTTCAGACAGAACTCACCAAAGCAACCACCACCACATGCATCCATACGTTAGGAACTACCATGGCCTCTCCACCGGGTGTTGTGTTGTGTGTTGTGGTGGTGTGGTGTTGAATTACTTGGGCGGCATGCAGCAGGTATGACAGGGCAACAAATTACAATGCACCAGTCTCCCAAAATTCAGTGGTACATGCACACTTAATTTGTGAGGACATGAATTACGAATTACGAATTAGGCGTGAACTTAAATTATGAATTACGGATTCGTGCATGCCCGGCGATCACTCGTGTCCACCAGCCAAGCATGTCAGGCGCGTTGCATCTCACTTGGGAACATCCACAGAAAAATAGCCTTCCAGCCATTGTCTGCTCCACACCAAGTAGCATCAGCATGCAACCAGGTACAATAATGCTTCAGCTGCCACAGAAATTTAGCCTTCCAGCCATTGTCTGCTCCACACCAAAAAGCATCAGCATGCAACCATGACGGTTTAGGGTTTAGGGCTTAGGGCTTAGGGTTTAGGGTTTAGAAACTAAAGATGCTTCGGGGGATCGCGCAGAAAATAGTCGTGTGGCGAGTTGTTCGCTGGCCGGGACTGGAATCAAAGAGCACCGACATGTGCACGCATTAGCAGCGTGTTTACGTTGCTGGCATGCCCGAGAAAGCTCCCCGCCATTTGCTCTTCTTCACCTTGGTGATGCAGACTTTAGGGGGTTCTCAGGTGATTCCCTCATGTGGTCGGATCTTCTTTCAAATCTCCTTCTTTCTTTCGGGCAAATGGGCAGATAGGAACTGAGGGCTGAGCCGGGCCGTAAGGCTTTGCGATGTAACCTAAGTGGGGGGCTGAATGGGGTTGATGGTTTGCTTTTTGTTTAACCTGTGGGTTGATCCCATGAGTCTTTTTAAAGCCCTTTCTGGGTCTCATTCCGAATTCCTTTACATGCTTACCGAAAGGTGCCCACTTTGGAACGTGCCTTTTTAAAGGTCTTTCGGCCAGGGTGCCAGCACCCCATTGCTCTTCCGAGCTCGTCACGCCTGCGCACCAGAAGCCCGGCGAACGAATCCAACGGTACAGCTGCAGAAGCCAACGTCCTTTAACCGCTAACCTACGGCGAGAGTATGCCATGCAGCACCTGTCGCCGCATTATGTGAAACAAGACGTGACGCATTGCAGCGAGATTTGCTTCTCATTGGCATCCGTCGCTAGGGCAAGCGTGCAAGGAGTGATGGATAACTCAGAGAGGGTGGCGTGTTCTCCTTGAAGCTGAAAGCGTCTGGCTTGCAGCAACCGGAAATGCTACTTTGGACAGCTCTACCCTCTCTTCACTCTTCCAACAATCCAAGACGCTTGCTAAGCGCGCATGCCCACGAGGATGAATGCACAGTAAACCGAAACTGAGGAGATCTCGACATTGCGTTTTGCACCCTCTTTTGCGGTTCTCTGCAAATCTTTTCGCGCCTAGCGTGTGTGCATTAAAACTCGGAGCGAAGACACGTCCAGCATACCTGCCCGAGTGGCAGAACTAGAGCTCCCCTTTCTTGGCAAGCCTGCAGTCGCAACATCGGCACAGGCACTACTACTTGTACGTTATTATTACTCATAATAACATTTTCCTTATTAATTATAATTATAATAACTCAGACTTAGTTCTTTATTGTTACTCTAAAGAATACGGCCTAATGCCAGGAAGCCGTCACGTCATGCCATGCAATCTGAGGCATCCACACTTCCGGAGCCTTCTGTCGCAAAGTTTCCATTGTGCCGAAGCCATCCACGCGTGTTATGGAACCTGTGGTGTGGTTCACACAACATTCACACGGGGCTCATTCGCGCACCCTAGGAAAGCTGTTGGCAAGCTTGGCTCAGGGTAACGGGCAAGCATCTTATGCGCAATTTGCTACGTACTTAGATGCAAGTGACGCCTGCAGGAGTGGAGGCGAAAACAACCCCAAGGCCAGGTATTCTTGTGTCTGCTCTTTGCGCGGGCAAAAGGCATAAGGAGGGGGGGGGGGGGGGGGGCACAAGCCGAAACTGAAGATTGGTTGATTCGCGGTGCCATGAAGCCATTGCTCTCCAACCACGTCAAAAAACAGATCCTCCCTGGCCGGTGGGTCCGACGGCGCAATGTTGCGCTGTCCTTCTTTCTGGGTTCCGTGTCCTTTCTTCCAGCCTCTATCGTGCTAGTGACCGTAGTGCTCATTCAGAGGCCACATACCACACAATACAGTCAGGTTTGGGCCTTCGGACAAAGCTGCTCCTGTCACTTTTCAGGGTCTGCTACGTCAGCTCTTGGGATGATCAGGAATGACACGGCTTGAATGAGCATCGGTGAAGTAACACACACCAGACTCTTATGCCTTGGGCTGCCGAGGTCTCACCGACGGACTTTTACGCCTGAGCTGAACGTTCTGCTCCAGGGCTCTGGCACTTTCCGGCAGCATCGGCGCACTTGACAAGAAATTTCGTGGCGAAGTTCCATCGCGTCGCCTGCATCACCAGTTTGCTGGTAACATCGGTGATTGACACTTACTGCCCCATGAACTGCAGGCGTATGCACACCAGATGCCTTGTGACTGGAACTGGTGGCTTCCAGCAGCTTGCCCCAGGCTGCAGATTTGTCAGGTCCATTGACATCTGCCTGACACTCCCAACACCGAGAAATGGCAAGAAACGGCAGCCGACAGCTCTCCATCTTTCCAGCCCCAACGGCCCTGAAGATCCTCAACCCACACAAGAATACACAAGACAACTCATGCCTGCCTTGGCCATGAGGTGAAAGCGTGAGCCGGGAGCGTTCACTTTCAAGCCTCGAGCCTTGCAGGGAGAATCGTCAAATGCTTAATAAACCGTCCAGCAAGTAGTTTCGTGATAATTCCGGCAAAAGAAGCCACTCTGGTGCAAACATGTGCAAGCATGTGCCCAAACTCTGCCCAAACTCTGCCAGCCTCTGCGAACTTACGGATGTCGGCGTCACTCCCAGGCTCTTGCTCACCAAACTGGTTGCCTCACGACAGGTTGTGGCTGCTACCCTTGAGCAATCCCTGCAAGTGCATCCAAGTAGCAAGGAAACGCCACGACATGGACACCCTGCCACAGGCCGGCTAAGCGGAAATGAGATCAGAAAAGACTTCAGCCTCAAACGGACTCTTCACAACAGGCCTCCATCTCCTTTTGGACTTTCAGGAAGTCAGCATAGTTGGATGCAGTTGCTCCTCACTCGCTCGCGACATTGGTGATCACGATGGCGCGGGCCCCGCGAAGCTCCTCAAACTTGAACTCGGCACCTTCGGGAGAACAGATCTTGTTCTTTGAAAACAAGGGCTTGTTCTTTCAACCAAGGGCAACTTGCACATGCTCTTAGGCGTCGTGGCGTACCTTCTGAGTTGGGCGAGGACAGGCCATAGAATTCGACAGTCCTGGGTTGATGGCGTTTGGGGGGGGGGCATCGGCTGAGGCACGGTTAGCAACGTCGCTTGCTGGGCCGCAGGCGGTATGGTCCCGGTACCACTGACGGATGCAGCGGTCAAGGCCGGCCACAGCGCCAGTTGGAACCAGCGCAGTCTTCCCATGGGCACGATGTGTTCTTAAGCTCTGCGAGATGGCTCGCAAAGATTGGTGACTCGACTTGGGCGCCAAAACTCCGCGGGAGGGGCAGCTGCAACTCCATTCGCATCTAGACATCGTTGACTCCGACAACATCGTTGCAAAGGATGGCAGGGTGCTCTCAGAATGACTGCCGGCTTCAGTCACAACCCAGAGCGCAGGCACTGCATCCACAGAACGCTGGAAGCGCCAGACGCTCACGGAAAGATAAACCCACCCCATTGGAAATCCTGAAGCAGAAGCCCGAACTCGGCAGCCAGAGCACGAAGGGCTCAATCAGGCCTTTCTTGCTTCTCAAGGAGTCGTCCCAAAACTGGGCATCCACAGTTCGGGTTGCGCATTCTCTCAAGGGTCTTACAGGGTCTTTAAAGGGGTCTCAAAACTCCCCGGACGTCAGCTTTGCAGTGGCCCGGGTGATCGAAGGGCCACGGTGGACAGTGTAGGGCAGGTACATAAAACTACCGAAGCACCCCAACCCCTTCCCAAATGCCATAGCCGCGTTTTGCGGCGTTTGGAATTCTCGCCGAGCTCTACTCAGAGATCTGAGATCCCAAAAGCCCTAGAACCCGAGCTTTGACGATTGCAGGCTGGGCAGCAGGCCATGATGCCAGCGGGAATCTGCTCACCCCGCCGGACCTGCGCCAAGGGTTTCGATCACTTGTGCGCAGGGCGATTCAACAAAGACTTCCGCGTGCTGCATGTCACAACCCTTTTGCAGGAGCGGAAGGAGCCGGACTACTGCCGGACTTCTTAAGCTATCTTAAGCTGCCCACGGCTTCTTGCTGCAAGTGCATTTGCAAACTTCTCAGCTTTGGCTTTTCGACAGCTGGAGGCCGAAGGACCCGTGAGTCTTACGCTATCTGTGTATATATGCATATATATATATATATATATATATATATTTATTTATTTATCTATCTATCTCATACCCCAAATACATATATACATATGTCATGTACATGCATGTGTGTATATTTTTTGTGTAAATACAGCCACCATCTGCCGCACGAGCACACAGCAGCCTCCGTACGAGATCGTACGAGTACCATCCCTCAAGTGCCACCCAACGGTGTGACGGGTAGAAGGAAGCAAAAAAAATGAAGCCGGCGCACTCCGGGTCGTATGATTCCCACTGGCCTTGACAGCTTGGGACGCTTAGGGTTCGGAGAATTTCGGAGACGTTCGGAGACTTGCCATGTACGAAGTCAGGCTTTGCGTGGGGCTGTCAGGCTGTAAGGGTGGCGCTCGGTTGACTCTTGCGACTGCACAGCCCGGTCATACATGTGCCACTTCTGTGACGCCGATGCAGCTCACAGCTGCGAGCCGCGTATGCCGGGCAATTTTGAGCTCCAGACGCTGCGACGTCTGCTCTGGCCTGGCGCTCCAGCGCTCATGCGCAGCTCACCGCCAAAAGCACTGCTACATCCGCCTTCTCGGCATCCTTGAAGGCCTGAATGAAGCGCTTGTAGTACTTGTTCCTCGTGTTGTGAAAGGGCACGGCAGAAGAGGATGTTCCGAAGAGGATGTTCCTGTTACACATGCTACAGTGGCATCCCAGCAAGTAGCTGGCAGCGTGCCGATTACAGAACAATAATAACCCAGTCAGCCAGCCAGTGTGTATGCGTATAGATATATATATATATGTATATATGTATATATATATACCATGCGAACAATGCAAATCCAGCCAAAGGCAAAGGTGAAAGACACTTGAATTCAGCCAGGATTCACCAGCAATCCACTGTCATCTACGACAGCACCTGGAACAAGTCCAGGGGAGTAAAGGACTGCCAGGATTCGGGGCAGTCGACTTACACACTCGAGGAGGCAAGCTCGGGCTGCGAATGCCCTTGACGATCTTCAAGACGAGGGGTGTGAGAGGGCGTGGTATCTAATCTGTAGTGCCTTTAGGACCAAAGCGAATGGGGCACTGTGCTATTTCTCTTTTTTGCTGTATATCCCCCCCCCCCTCATCTCATCCCATCCCCAGCCAGTTAATTGCGACTCTACAAGTGGCGCGTGGACGAGTGGCAAGTTGCAACCGTCTAGGCACCAGCAACACTGGACCCTGAAGCAGCCCTTTACTGAAAAATGCCCCCAGAAACAGACTGGGTCCGAAGACCTTCCGGCTTCAATGCCGGATCCTCCTCGAGGAGGAAGGGATCCGAGGGCACTGGCCTCTCCTCTTCGGGCTGAACCTCCGGCGGCCCCTTCACCTCAAGGCAGCCAGTCGCGGAATTCTCTCAGAAAGCGATCAAAACGCATGGAAACACATGAAAACCGTCCAGTTCACACGCGAGCCATCGAGCACCGAAGGCGACAAGCAGCTTTGCATAGTACGGCCAAGCCCTGAACCTTGCCCCTGCCACGCTTGCCACGTCCTGGACATGGCCACAAAGCGCATGGCTGCAAGGGTTTAGGGTTTAGGTTTTAAGGTTTAGGGTTTAGGGTTAAGGGTTTTTTTTTGCCACCCGCCTAGCTGACACTCAGGCCACATTGCAGGGACTAATTCCGGCAATACTGCTTCTTATTGAAAGATGCGCTTTTAAAATTAGCCCCTTTCCGGGTTTAGGGTTTTGGGTTGAGGGTTTGTACTCAGTGTACTCTTGCCATTACGCGCATTCGCGTCGCCATGCTTCGCCATGCTTCGCCTGCCTCCTGCGGGTTCAGCCTTGCCAACGGCCGCCTCAGACAAACGGAAGATGCATCTGTTTGTGCCACCCACCCAACACTCACGCACGCTGCAGGCGTGCAAAAGCCCTAAGGCTTAAGGCATTCAGTGGGGATCCGATATCATGTGGACACAAGCAGTCCAGGCCTGGCCCAGGGTCTCTGCCACAAGCTCCTCCCCCGTCATCTTCTTCACGTAAGCTGCCTCGTGAAATGGGCAAAAAGCGTCCTTCTGCTACCACAATCCTCACCCATCCGGGACCCCTTTCCCATCTTTTTCCTCCTGTCCTGCCCTGTCCTCAGTACAATGAAAACAGGCTGAGCTTAGTTGTGTGCACTTCAGGATCAAGTCGGCAAGACCCACACCGACATCACCCAGCTGAAGGGCAAGAATGTGTCGTGACACGTGGACGCTTGCCAGGGTCTCTGCCAGACACTTCATCCCTCGGGCTTGTTGCATGGCCTACCCGAAGCCCAAGGCTCCACGTGGCAGTGGAGTCTCTTCAGCCTTTAAGTAGAAGAAGGCATGGCAACTACCATACTTCTTATACTATCATTGACTCTCATACTATCAGTAAACATAGCATAGTTGCATGCTATCAGCAAACATAGCATAGTTACAATTCCATTCTACTGGTGGCAAAGCATTCAAGACGGGTCTTCGAGCAGGCCGTTACTCCCAAAACTGGCCCAGATCTTGCAAAAGGGTGCCTCCCTGTACAATGGCTCACATTGCTCATTGGCTTGCTCACTTGGGGCCATCTGTATGCTGAGCACCACCCAATGGATCATGACTATCGGCATGACCTGCCGCAAGCTCATCTGCAACGCAGCTCTATACTCAACCCCCTCCTGGCCCACAAAACCGTGCCTCCACCAACACCTGGATCTACCTCCGTGAGACCCGGCGCAGGGCGGCAACACTGGCACCAACTGCTAGGGCAGCCGCGGCGACGTTCAAAGCCTGAGGCGTTTCGGCAGTCGAAGAGACACAACCCTTGCAGGCAAGTCCAGCATGCTGCGCTTAGAATTTGGTCCTGTGTGCGTGGCGAGTGTCGGTGCCCGTCCTGGTGTCCCAGTTTTTGGACCAGCGGCGTGCCACAAGCTCATGCGCCGTCTCCGCTGCCATGCCACCCTTGCTCAAGCCAAGGACCAAAGCATCCCTGGCCGATGAGAGGGGGCACAGGTGAAATCCTTGGTTCGCCAGAGCTACTAGCAGCTACTATCACCGAAAAAGGGCCTTCAGGGACGCCAACTATGTTTCTTGAGCTCGCATGTGTGTGACGAGCTTCGGCTGCTGTGCGCCGTCCACTCCTCCACGCGCTGCATGAACTCGTCCAACATTGCTCGGTGATGCTGGAGGTCTGGTAGTGCTTGCCCTGCCTGCCATGACGATTTTTAACCATCTCCAGCTGACTCTAGCTTCCACGGCCAGCGAACCTTTGACAGGCTTCAGGAGCTACTCCGCAGGCCGATGCTGCGGGCCCTCAAACTGCACAACTAGTGGCCGTGGGGCCATGCGCGCATCCGCCACAGGCACAACTTCGGAGCTCGAGCCTCGGAGGCAAAATCCACCAGAAAAGACGCTGTCGTAGCCTCTCCAAGGACAGGTACAAGCACTCGTCATATGAATAGAGGCTTTTGGGCACGGCAGCATCTGATGGCAGCCTTCTTGTAGAGCTGGCGGAAGCTTTCGTGACTTTCACGTCGGCACTCATCGTTGAAGGCCCTCTGCGCGATGACGGGCAAAGGGGCGGAGGTATCCTGAAAGCAGCAATCCTTGGCATTGGCCAAAGGGAAACCTTGCATCAGGTGTCGTTCTGCCAACTATGGGACGACGGCACGCGTCCGTACGTGGTGTAGCATGAACATGGCAATGCAAAAGATGGCACTTGATCTAAAACAAGGCTGGTGTTGCAGTGTTTTCGCCGCATGCACTTCGAAACTCTGCATAGGGTACTGGTGCTGGGGAAACAGGGGGTGGACCACTAAACCCTCAAGTCAAGAAAAACCTTCGAGGCTTCCAAAATCTCTGCAAATGCCGTTTGATCACTTTTGCTGACACATGTAGTCTCAACCAGATCTCAACCACCCCAACCTCCACCCAGCCACCCACCCCTCCGCGTGTCTTCTCCGATAATGCAGGCCTCGAGTCATCACTTTCCACGTCCGGGCTCGGAGTGGGCGGCCACAGGGAGAGCTCTCGGCAGGTTGCGATGATTCCTGAGCGGACGCCTTCTGCCAGGACTAGGCGGTAGGCGACGTCGATGCACTCCAGCAGCGAGTCCTGTAGGAAGAGTCCGCCAATCATGGTCCAAGAACGAGGCACCTCTTTTCAACTATTGTTTGTGCCCGTCCTCTTGGGCTTGTAGCCGCTTTGTGAACTCCTTGACCTTGGAAGATGCCTGCTGGACTGCGTCCTGGCGAGGGCATCAGCGTCACCACTCTACGCGTGCTTGCTGTGGTTTTTGGTCTATGTTCTGTCATGGCAACAACTCATACAAGATTACATAGTTCTGCACTTGCTTTGTACTCTACCGCTACTCAGATCCCTCTCCCGGCCTCACACCCCCAAAGCCCCCAAAGCCCCCAAGGTTGATCCCCTAAACCCTAAACCACTCTTTCATATATAATATAAATGTTAATGACTTTGCGGGCAAGGTCATATATTTAGCGGGCAAGGTCCTATATGTAGCGGGCAAGGTCATATATTTAGTGGGCAAGGTCATATATTTAGCGGGCAAGGTCATATATTTAGTGGGCAAGGTCCATTGGCTAAAAAATGACCTTGCCCACTAAATATATGACCTTGCCCGCTAAAGGGCGACCTTGCCCACTAAATATATGACCTTGCCCGCTAAATATATGACCTTGCCCGCTAAATATATGGACCTTGCCCGCTAAATATATGGCCCGGGCCAGGTCATATATTTAGCGGGCAAGGTCATATATTTAGCGGGCAAGGTCATATATTTAGCGGGCAAGGTCCTATATTTAGCGGGCAAGGTCCTATATTTAGCGGGCAAGGTCCTATATTTAGCGGGCAAGGTCATATATTTAGCGGGCAAGGTCATATATTTAGCGGGCAAGGTCATATATTTAGCGGGCAAGGTCATATATTTAGTGGGCAAGGTCCCCCCCCCCAGCCCCCCCCCCCCCCGCCCCCCCCCCCCCCCCACCCCCCCCCCACCCCCCACCCCCCACCACCCCCCCCCCCCCCCCCCCCTCCACCCCCCCCCCCCCCCCCCACCCCCCCCCCCCCCCCCGGAGCCCCTCAAAAGAGTCAAGCGATTCAAGATGGCTTCCAAAGAATAAGTTTCCGAATGACCGCGCCTGTTTTTGAGGCCCCTGAAGCCCCTCAAACGACTCAAGAACTCAAGATGGCTTCCAAAGAATAAGTTCCCGAATGGAAACATGTGGTTAACAAATCCATTCTGTTGACCACGTTGGTTTTCTTGTCCGCTTGAAACAGAAACATGTGGTTGACAAATCCATTCTGTTGACCACGTTTGGTTTTCTTGTCCGCTTGAAACAGAAACATGTGGTTAACAAATCCATTCTGTTGACCACGTGCCTAGAGAAGAAGGAGGTTGGATACTTTTCCTAATGGTGTGGGACCCAATGGGCGGGTGGGTATTCCCCTGTGGCCTTGAAAGCTGCTCAACTGGTGAATGCTTGGACCAGAGATGCTGAACCCTAAACCCTAAACCCTAAACCCTAAACCCTAAACCCTAAACCCTAAACCCTAAACCCTAAACCCTAAACCCTAAACCCTAAACCCTAAACCCTAAACCCTAAACCCTAAACCCTAAACCCTAAACCCTAAACTGCAACGGCCTTCCACTCCGCAAGCTTGGACTCCGCCACCCTGCCAGCCAGATTCCTGGGCTGAGTCATGGGGTTCCCCTACTACCCCCAAACTACACTACCCTAGGCTGACCCCTTGAAGTGCCTTAAAAAGAGGGGGGCCTAGTAGGCGAACCCATGACTTAGGGCTCTTTATGCTCTTTTGTGGGGCTCTGGGGTCAGGAGGTGGGAATTCGGGCTCCAAGGGAGTTGTGGGCCAGGGGCTGGAACCCAGCACCATGGCCCAAAACCCAAAACAGCCAAAACCCCAAACCCCAACGCATCTTCCCTAACCGAACTCGAATCTTGGCAGCCCCACTTTGCGGGTGCCCAGAGTACTAAAAACTCAAAACCCTTCTGCTCGATATCACGGTGCCGAGCAAAGAAACGCACTGCTCCCAGAAAGCATGCCCTTCAGACCCTAACGGCTAATGGCTGAAGCCCCTTTCTTGCCCTTTCCCTAGGCTTTGGCAAGAAGCGAGGACTTTGGAGCGGATATTCGACATCACGCCGTCTCCTTTTAGAGAAACCCCAGAGATGTTCTTAAAGTCTCTCCCTAAGCCCCCTAAGCCCCCTAAGCTCCCTAAGCCCTTGGACCCTGAAGCCCTCCATGGTCAACCGGCTTCGATCCATCGAAGGCGTAGGCCTGGAACCGGCATCCGCTGAGAGAGGCGTAGTCCTGCACTTTAAGGGCTCAGGGGCCCCGAGGGGAGGGCAGCTTGGGGCGCAGGATTCAACTTGATGTTTGGGGATCCGCGAGGGCGTGGGGACCGTACAGTCTAGAGAAGTTGGAGCCGTTTTGCTGGATTCGACTCGCACTCGGGGGCAGGAACAGCGACGACGATGAGAGGCCAGCGACGCATTCGGGCTGTCCGACTCACGCTAGTGGACAGCAGGCAAGCAGGTCAGTCCACCAACCCAGGAGCTATAGACCCGGCTCAACTGCGACATTCCCCAGCAACTTTCGGCGGCAGTCGTGCGACGTACAATCTCGCACCGGGGGGTGGCTCGAGCCGGCTTTCGCCAACCCCATGCTCATCTGGACAAGCGAGGTGAAGATGTTGGACATGCCGGCCACTCTATCTGCAACTCCAAGCCTCCAAGGAACCGCCACAAATTTGCACCATCCAGCCCCGCTTCCCGAAAGCAGTCTAGTGAGCATGGTGCGCCTGGCTCACCTTGAGCGTTCAATCCATTAAGTCAAGCTGGAGCACGCCATCTGCATCTTGTTGCGAAGGACCTCCAAGCATCAGCGCGGCGATGGCCTTCTCCTTCTTGTGCGCATCCCGCCGGCCAGCGCGCAAAGATCGGCGCAAGAGACCTGCTGCTTGATGGTGTTGAGCTGCCTCGAGCTGTTGAACTGCATCCTCCGCCTCTTGCCAGCTTCCCATTCCGATCGCAGCTTCTCCCAGACGGTAGCGGGCCTTGGGACATGCCGGGTTCATCCAAACAGCCGCAGAAGCATGCTCTCTTGCATCGGCATACTCCTGCAACTTGAGGTGGCCCGCGGCCAGGTTTGAGTGCAAGGAACCCTCGAACTCATCCAACTCGCTTTCTGGAACTCGGCCACGCTCCTCCACGGCCGCAGCTAGTGCTTTCTTCCACTGCAGTACCGCACTCCGCGCGTTGCCGTCTGCAGAGTTGGACCAAAGCTCCGCTGCCGCCTCCCTGTATGCTCTGGCCGCCGCCAGCGGGTCACGTGCTGGAGCAGTCACGCACTGCATGAATCCTGCAGCGGGTCTACTAGGCTTGCTCTGGTTGACGTGGATAACTCTGGTGCCATCCCTTGACCGTGGCTGGGGAAGGTCATCCTTACTCATCTCAGCGAAGGCTCAGCACATCTCGGAACTGCATGGCACTGCTACTCCTGCTACTCCAACATCGAACACTAACCGAATCGAAGCTTACATGCTTGCCACTGTGCTGCCGCAAGGGATCAGCTGCTATTATATCTGTAGCTACTTTCTCTCCCGCAAACTCTTCTCCGGAGAGCCTGCTGCACGTGCTGAATTGTGGAAATGCCCGGAATCTTGAGGGTCCATCGACCTATCTTGCGCATGACCACCGTAGTCTTGAGCCAAGGAGGGTGCACTAGGAGAAGTCTGGCTCCTGGCCCATCATGGCCATCCCTGACGATACCTTGCATACAGCTTGCTTCCTCCAGCACTGTTTGAGGTTTGCAATCTCACAACTCGGACTGACTGGCAACGAGCCCTTTAGGACTGTCTTTAGAAAGCGTCTGCCAGGGATTTCAGGAGTTCCGGTCGCAGCTGTCCTCGCATGCTCGTAGCAAGTCGCGAAAAGCCGGAAACGCATCAGCGTCCAGCTTGGACTCAGTCTGCAGAGGAGCCATGGCTACTCGAATTGCCAAGCACAGTTCAGACCTGCGTTTGTCGACAGTCCGTAGCTTGACTCGAAGTCTTCAGGAAAATACTTCCAGTTGAAAGGCAGCTGTTAGCTGCTTGCTTGAGCGGAGAGGCGCCGAGAGCAGATTCAGACCCTAAACCCTAAACCCTAAACCCTAAACCCTAAACCCTAAACCCTAAACCCTAAACCCTAAACCCTAAACCCTAACCCTAAAACCACGTGGAGGACCGCTGCGCGATGCCGGGCGCCTGGCCCGAACAAAGGGTTTGGCTGTACGGGCCACCTGCTCTGAGCAGCCTCCGCTGTTGAAGGGGATCTTGAGCATGGCCTTGGCGGTCTGCGCAGTGAGGCTTCGGGATGTCTTTGAGGTTCTTCGTGACTTTTCTAGCACCTGAAGAGCCGACCATCTGTTGAAACATCTTTGCGGATCTTGAGGTCTCGTTTGAGCCCTGAGGCCCGTGCGAAGCGGTTGCTTCTTACGACGTCATGGGCTTCCAAGTTGAAGACTATGTCCTGAGTGCCGCACGGATGTGCATGCAAAGATCAGGCGCAGGCAGAATGCGGGTGGATCATATCAGGGACCTCCAAACCTACCTAGACCCTATGCCTAGAAGCAGCGCGCCTCCCACACGAAGACTTCCTGCCTTGCAGTAGCGCTTTTAGGCACGCATTTTTGCTGGATGTGCAGACGACTAAGGGCTCCGCTTGAAATTCAGCCCCTCTTTCTCTATCTCAGCAACGAGCTGCGCTGGGTTCAGGAAGCAGCTACATCAGCTGTTCTGTTGCTCAGTGCCAAGCTTTCAGTATGTTCAGAAGGAATCCGGAGTAAACCTGCGCACGGCCTCGATCCGACCGAACGCGACAGATTCAACGGCCCCGAACAGCCGCCAAACGCACAGAAGATAAAAAAAAAACCGACTGCTTCTCGGTGAGATGAGGGCTGTGGGGATTGCGAGCAAAGAGAAGCTCTGGCGCCAACCTCCAACCGACCGGAGCAGCAGAAACACACTCTGGGCAGCTCTCGAAGCATGGGTGCCAAGGCCAAACGTGGCTTTTGGCCTGCAAAATCCGAAGGCCGCGATGCCGGGCATTTCCTGCGCGACCCGCGCAGATCGAAGACGTTCACCCGGAAGGACTTGAATTACTCTGGGAAGTCGCTGTGTGCTAGGTGCCTCTGCGAAAAACTTCGGCTCTGCAATGTATGACATGACCTGAGCATCTGAGCAGCGATCATGTGATGGGTCCGCGGCTACTAGTATACACAGCAGGGCCGAGAACTGACATGTGAGCCGGGACTCAAGTGCCAGCTTTGCAGATTTTTAGGAAGTTGCCCCCAACACATGCTCAGACAGACCACTTAACTTTGTAACTTTGTATTCCTTCTCCCGAGGTGCAGGCTCTCGCCAACGGAACTGGGGTGAACTGTGCCTTCCAGAAGGCACGATGACCGCATCTGACCAGCCAGACGACCCCCATGAATATGAACCACATCTGATGATGTACGACTTTAGGGCCCCTAAACCCTTTTTGCAGCCGGACTGAGGGCGTTGAACCCTAAACCCTAAACCCCAAACCCTAAACCCTAAACCCTCTTAGGCTTGCAGCCTGCTACCTATAGTGTTGGGCGCCTTCGTCGAGGCTGGAGCTCCAAACAGGCAGTGCTCATCATTGACCTGGAAGGCAACCAGGGCTCTCCGTAGTCCCCATGCTCAGTGTCGGGTTTAGGGTTTAGGGTTTAGGGTTTAGGGTATAGGGTTTAGACACCGGGAGGCCAGACCAAAGTCACGCCGCGCCAGCCCCGAACTGTATCATCGAGGAAGAAGGCCTCATGGACATGGACCAAAAAATTTCGCAACAGCTCGGGTCCTACACAACCTTAAACGCATTGGGTGGTGCACGTAGGGCATCCGCAACGCCGCTGCCAGCCTGGCTTGCGCAGAAAGGATCGCAAGGCAAGCGCCACGCGGCTCTCCTAGGAAGCAGATGACGCAAGATATGCTATGACAATCAACCCCTCTCCCCCCCACCCCCCTAAGCAAACCTTGAAATAGATGGTTTGTACCTTGACGGTCCCTGCTTCAAAGAGCCATTAAGGAGGGGACAAGCGAATGAGCTGGCCTGACCAGCCAATGCCTCGCGCAGCCAACGCCCAGGTCCTGGAAAGCTTGGAGAGCACACATATTTAGCTTAGGAGACCCTAAAAAGGGACACCCAAAGACACCACCCCAACATAAAGCCTGCAAAAGGCCACCTGGTTTCTGAATTTAAAACGGCTGGCCGGGACTTGCAAGCCCTTTTAAGGATTCCAAGCCCCCAACCGCAAGGCAAGAGCCAAGCAAGCCCTGAAAACGGCAAAAACAAATCAAACATGCGAACCCCTATAATGTTAGACAATATTGTTGGAGATTATGACATACTATTTCGTACTGTCGATGTAGCCTGGTGCAATTGCAGAATATGGTATAATGCTACATATTATCATGTTGCAACGAATGTTATGACATAGTATTATGCAAGCCTCTTTTGCTATTCTTTCACGACAAGTCCATACCAGTAGCGCAGAATTTCACTTTAGGATCGGCCTCGGGCTTCAGTCTGCCATAGCATGGGTGGGTGACCTGGGCACGCATCTCCAGCTGAATCTCCAGAAAAGAGCTCCTAGAGACCTGCAGGTCCTGATTCCCCTTGTTATTCTTCCCCTTGCCCTCTGAACCCCCGGATGCACTAAACGCATACTCATACCCACCAAACTCACGCTCCTAGTACCGGTAGCCCGGATGCACTTAACACATACTCAAGGCATCTGCCACTGACAATGTGTGCGTGTGACTGAGCAGCCGTCCGTAGGCATCGTGGGCAGCTCCATGACAACCTCAGGCACCCACTCGAGGCTTGTCAAGATCTACGTAGCAGCCTGCGGGTGACAGTGTGCAACCTCTCATTCAGTTCTCTCCTGGCTCGTCGAGGCCGCGACAAAGAAGGGAGCGCTCATTCGATACCTTACAACAAAGCAGGACTCCAGCTCCAGCCTGAAAGATCTGTGAAGCACTACAGAACACAGAGACTCATAGACAGCATCCATCTGTTGCCCTCCGAGCTGCTTCTCCACCTCAGAGGGCTTCACCTCGATCTTTGATTCCGGGCACCCCCAATGTTGCCCAATTTTTAAGGATGTCACAGATCCCCCAGATTTTCCCAAGGCTTCGGCCGCAACAATCTGGAGGAATTTCAAGGGCGAGCCATCCTCCGACACCATGCCCGGAGCGATGTCGAGCCTGTCACGACATCAGGACTCCTCTGCCCCACCCCCCGCCTCGATATCCCCCCCTGCAAGGAGAGCTGTACAACATGTTCAACAGTAGAAGAAGCCACTGTACTGCTGCATGTGCATACGGAGAGAGGCAGAGAAAGAGGGAGAGGGAGCAAGGGGACGATGTTTGTAAGGGAAGCTGCGGTTTTGCTGTGGAACAATCTGCCGGGTGAACAAGCCAACTTCCTCATCAAGAGCAGAGCGCCCGAAAGATGGTGAGAGCACCTGAGCTGAACAGCAGGGCGTGAGCTTTAGCCGCTTAGCCAGCGGGGCACGAGGACGTAGGGTTTGCGCAGCTTGCGCTGCTTTCACGCCAAAATGCTGGGCGCGCGGCTGGGAAAGATGCTTCGCCCCTCTCGGCCGGCCGGGCAAAGATGCCTCTCTCGTCCTCGGAAGGCCACAGGCAGCAAGGCACTGGTCTCAAATGGGTGGGACAGTTTAGGGTTTAGGGTTATAGGGGTTTAGGGTTTAGGGTTTAGGGTTTAGGGTTTAGGGTTTAGGGTTTAGGGTTTACCCACTCAACCCAGGACCCCAAACGAGAACTCGCAGGCTACACGGTCTACTTGAGCCCGCGTGCGCCTCGGAGAAGAGATGCTGATGCTCGCTCGGGATGAAGAGCCGACAGCTCCTCAAAGGTGGTTTAGGGTTTAGGGTTTTTAGGGTTTTTAGGGTTTTTAGGGTTTTTAGGGTTTTTAGGGTTTTTAGGGTTTAGGGTTTAGGGTTTAGGGTTTCGATCTGCTGGGGGCGGCATCATGTTTCTCTTGTTGCACTTGAGAGTTGGAACAGGCTCCAACTACTAGTTTCGGTGGTCTCAATCAGGCTGAGCATTGGCTGCGCTTACGCAGCTCATCGTCGTCGTTCGTGTTGATTTTTTGCGAAATCTACCTACCGCGCTCCCAGTGGGATGCAGGCCTTCCGAGCAATAGAAGAAAGATCTTGGCATAACCCTATGTGCTTTACTGGGATTTGAAGCTGGGTGCTGGGGGGGTCGGGATGGTAAATCTCCAAACTGGCGGCTGAGCCCTTGGCACGCCATCTGCCAGGACCAGGGTGACTGTCCGATCCCCGCGGTCGCGGACCTTCGAGCAAAGTCGAGCTCTGCTGGGGCGCTTCTAAAGCAGACATGCGGCTCTCATGGCTCCTCGCATGAAGGTCTGCACTGCGCGAGGCTTGCGAGTGTACAACGTAACTTGCGGCTTGAGCTCTTGACGTCCTTGTGTTGTATCCCGCTGTCGGATGTGAGCACCGCACGTCTCGGATGCGGCTTGGTCGACTCGTGAAGGGTATGGCCGAACGGTGCCAGCGTTCTGGATGATGTGTGCCTCGGCGCAGGACGGCTTCAGGCCTCGGGATGGTCAAGATGCCCCTAAGGGGGGGACCCGGCTTCTGCTCCTTCAAGTGCGCAGTGCTGAAAGAAGGGGCTCGCTCATGGACCTCACACCCCAGCCACAAAAGGAGAGACTGAGAGTCCTCAAAACCTTTCTACCTGCCACTTCATGGATTCCCCGCCTGTCAACACAAATTTGACAAAACATCTTTTCTCCAAAGAGGAACCTGGCAACTCCTGCAGCCAAGTCAAATGTTGGCCTCGCGGTGCCCTTTCACTGTGTACCAGTCCTGCGTCTACGACAACTCAATCTCTGCTGTTCCACATTCGAGTCCCCTTTTTTTGCCTCCCTTACACAGCGAGAACGCCGGAGAAGGAAAAAAAAAACCTACGCCTACACCCCCCAAGTGCACTTCAATTGTGGGCCTTACTTGTGGGGGCTTATGTGCAGTTTAGGAACAAGTTCGTTAGATGATAGAGCGCTCCATAGGCGGGTTCTGGACAACCATGCTTGGCTGCACATTGTACAAGGGAGTGGCTCAAGGCGGACCACGACATTCCCATCCCGGGGTCCCACAACTCCGGATTCTCTGGATCGCCATACCTCATAGTTCGGACAGATTGCCCTCTCCCGCAGCAAGGAAGGTCTACAGGTGCAGTGACATTTCTGGGCCACCCTGGCTTTCCCACTCTGAGATTCTTGAAGTACTTTGGCCGCAGCCTGCCGGGGCAGGGATGGCACAAACCTCCAGCTCAAGCGTTTATCCCCTGCCCCTGATCTTCAGCCCTGGTAAGGTTAAACCTCGTCGAGTCGGAACAACTCGGGGGAAACTAGGGGGCTTGGGCTGATGAGGAGCACCGGCTAAGAGCAATGCAGGATCCTTCGCGCATCGATCGCACAGGCTTTACCATTGCATTTCGGCGCCCCTTGTCCGTCGCCCCTCCGACATTCTTTCAGGCTCTGCTGCTTCTACGGCGGCTGTTGCTATCAATATCGCAGGGTATGTCAGCGATGCGATGTGAAAAAACAAATGACGTGTGCTCGTTGACGGCTCTCGGCAGTCCGCAATTCTAGGCTTACTTGCCAGTTGCTTAGCTTTACCACTCGATGTGACACATACGGCGCATTTGGGCAGACTCAGAGAGGCTGGACCGGGCTCGAACCTGTCAACCGTGGGATGCAGCGGGCAGCGACTGCCTGTCGCAAAATGGCAGTCGCCCTGTGTCTTGCCCCCGAGCTCACACGCGACAAGAAATAGCAACTAGTTGCTAAAATCACGTGACAGCAGAGCGAGGAGCCTCTGGGCCGTCCTGACTCCTCCTCCTCTTCCTGCCAAAGCCAGACAGCGCGACCCGGCGGTGCCCACGCGAGCGGCCACTGAGCGCGCTGCGTCGCTCGATGGCTCCTTGCTTTCCTCCGGATCTGCCTTCGCAAGAAGCTTTGGCTGTGGCAGGTTTGATGAAGAAAGCTGTGAGATGCTTCTCAACTTCATCTCGAAGTTGTCGATACATCGCGAGCTGATGGCGAACTTGCTCGAACTTTCAACTCTTCTGCGCGTGTTACGCCGCTCAACACTCAAGCTCAATGCCGCCCAGCCCAGCGCCTCGGCCATGGCCGCCTGGTCCTCTGCGCCTGCTCTTTTCGCACACGGCTGAGATAGGCATACCAAGAAAAAACTGGAATGCATGTACTTAACACAGTGTTTCTTTAGCAGCAAGAGCAGCAATCATAGCAATAACATTGAAACAGTTCATTCGTACCAGCCATGTAAGTGCCCGAGCTTCCACCTACAAGAAGCTCTTAAGCCCTCCGATGCCGAGACTCTCACTGTTCAGCCAGGTTGATGCCTTGGCAGCTCAAGCAAGGAAGCCCATGAGCAGTGAAGGAAAGGGGTCGTGAGCCCCGAGCAAACAGATTGTGACTCTTGACTATGATTAGCACATGGTCAATCCCCAATCTTGCGCCCTCGCGGACCCTAGCCCCTGTTTTCAACGCCGTCGGCGTTTTTGCTTCCTTTTCACAATCTCTCCGCCCGCTCCCCATTGGACGAATCTGCAGTGCCTCTTGCCTTGCCTCCGACTGCAGTCTTAAGCGATCATTTGGCTCCAAGTTCAGCAGCCCTTCATCCGTAACACTTAACAACGTTCCGCAGCTGAGACTGCTGGGAACCTGGCGTCGGTGGAAGAACCGGCACAGATCAGCCTTCTCCACATTCATTCGGTGTAGGCAGACACAGGCCAAACTGGAGCATGCACAGCGTCTTGCTGCAAAGAGCTTGGGATTCGCGCGCCCGCAGTTCCTCTCCGTGCGCCTTTGCAGCATCGAGGCTCCCTTGCCGGTCTCTGACACTTTGTTCGGTGGCAAAGCCTGGCGAAGCTCCTCACCTTGGCCTGGCACTCGGACATGTCCTACACCGGAAGTATCCTGGACGGACTGACTGCATGGCCTTCATCGCACAGCTCGTCGGACTCTAAATCCAGGGCTTCCATGACCTTCGTGGAAAGCTGACACCTCGAAGTGGCAAACTGCCTGATGAAGTGATCTTCCGAGGCGTGAGAGACGTTCAACATCGTTCAACTGTTCAACGTCAAGAACAATCCCTTCTCAGCCGAACTGGGACTCGAAGAAACTGGGGCTTCAACTTGAAGGACAGCACCGCGGTTTTGCGCTCCTCCAGTGAGGCCTTGCAACAGTGTCCCACTTTGAGGCCACAGCACAAGTGCCAATGCCTCCGGCAGATCCTGGACTTTCAAGTCCGGGGCATGCTTTCAAAGCTTTGGCGCAAGTCCAAGAGAGAGAAAGAAGATGGACAACTACCCTGTGCTGGGAAGCCTGTGTGAAGAGGCAGTATGCCTTGACAGGATGACGCGAGGTCAACCGATGTGCTCGGCTGGTGGCCTGAGTATCAGCTCATATGCTCACATGACTCGTGAACCGCTTGAGCTACTGACGGCTTCAAAACTACAATCAGACGTGTGGGTTCCCTGGAATGGGGGGTGCAAAGACACCCAGACCCAGACCTAAGGGTCCTAGCCCTAAGCATCCCTAAGCCAAATTGGGGCCACAACCCAAACCCAGTGCAGCAAATAAACTACTGGGCTTGCCGGCCTGGCGCTCCAGTGCGGGATTCCAGACACGCTCAACGTGCACCACCTGAGCTCGTTTGGCATTCTCAAGGCTCTTCGAAGGACAATGAGAAATATGAGAAAGGCAGAAGCGCCCCCGAGTCTTGCACCCAGCGCGCTTCTGGCAGGTTCAGGCCTCTGAGTGCCACGGAGCTTCTTTATCTTCTTTGTTGCAGCAAAATCCTAAAGATCTCTAAGGGCAGCTGGGCGTACGGCCCACGGCCCCCACCCACACAGAAAGCAGCAGCACCTTCAGGAATGTGCCACGCAGAAACGCATCTGCAAGCATCAGCTTAGGGACCTGACGTCCTTTCTGCAGAGTTGCCGTTGGGTTGCGCTTGTCACGACACTTGATGATTCATCCTGTGTAGTGCGCCTGGGATTGTGGTTCTCCAGGAAGCGGAGTGGCCTTGAACTCACGCATGATCCGCTCGCGCTCGGCGTGGGGCGTGTCCTCAGACCCGACGGGAGGCAAACGCGAAGGCCAAGTTTTGAATGTAGAAGTCCCCTTCTGCCTCTCAGACGGCACATTCTCTTAGAGGACCTGCGTCTTCACCGAGGTCGGTGCCCCGCGTAGTATCCCGGGCCGCACCCCAAACCTCGCTGAAGGTCAGAGAAACCAGTGCCCTTTACGTGAGAAATTTCTCAGCAGTTCCGATCCCGAGAGCTAGTGGCCTGCACCAGGCTACACATGAATGGACCAACCAGCACAGGCCAATGCATGCAAAAATTCACCTGGCTTGCCACGAGGCCCTCACTCCCTCTGCATGAGTGCCGCCAGAAGCTCGCTTGTGGCCTTGGCCACCGCTTGTAGAATTTATAGATGGTCTGGTCTTGAGGGGTCCATGAACAGGGCAACCCCTACTTGTAGGATAGCAAAGCTCTCTTCCCGGACCTCCCCACAAGGAAGCGTGTGAACGGCTTGCTTTTCACTCTTCTGCCAGACATTGAAGCCCTTGACCCTCGAATCGCTAAACTCAAACCACCAAAACGTTCAGAGCGACCTCCCCAACATCTCGCATCCGCAGACACCTCAACACCAAAGGCGAAAGACCTTCGCAATCGGTTGCCCGGCCATGGCAGAGGCTCTGCCCAAGGTTCTGAGGCACATTTGGGCTAACTGCTTACCACTTTTGAGTCTGTTCATTGTCTGTTCATTGAGTCGGGAACTCAAGGCCCCTGCACTTTGCACCCTACAGTCAGTTTAGAGTCACCGTGCGTCACACTTCGAAGCTTACCTGAAGCAACTTGCAAGCCCTGCCTTGACTACCTGCTCAAGGCACTGTTTCTGGCCAAGCACGGCGCCGTACGACAGAAGAACACCAGCACCTTGGGCGCCGGGACAGCAAAGGGGCTTCTTGATTCCAGGGAGTGACCCCCCGGCCCTAAACCCTAAACCCTAAACCCTAAACCCTAAACCCTAAACCCTAAACCCTCAAGCAAGGCTCCGTAGGATCCGCACTTTGTCTCTCCGAGCGATGATGCCCCGCCTCAGATCCAGAGTTGCCTTGACTTGGGGCTTTCCGACAATGGGGGTACCTTTTTTGGGGATCCCTTTAAAAAGGGGATGCTATTCAATTTGGGGTATAAGAGGGTGAACCCTATTTTGGGAGATGCCCATTGTGACACTGCCAGGAGTTTGGCCTGGTCCGCCCTGCAGCATGGCGCCCATGAAGCTGAGCTCCCGCGCAGGAGGTTGAACAGCTCTACCAGCCTGACTGGTAACAAGTACTTGTGCAGCTTGACGTCAGGCATGGCATGCGAAAGCCCGCTGTCAACTATGTGACCATGCGCACGTGCGGCCATGACATGTCAGGGGCAGAACTTGCCACTGTCATTGATGTCCTGGTCCTGCGCCTGGCCAGCTTTTCACCTACCCTCACGCCACCCTGTGCGTCAAAGAAGTGACATCAACGACACAGGCCGTAATGACTCACACAGTCACGCATTGGCCTCACATGTCCTCACTCTTGCTCTGACTTTCACTGTAAACTTTAACACCGGGTCCTCGCCACGAAAACGTTCCGGCCTTCGCACATAAGCTGCGTAAGCACCACTTTCAGTGTCCAGAACATACCAGAACAGCCCAGCTGGGGTGCTGCATTCTCGCTCTCTCCCAGCCACTGCTCCGAAGCTCCAAGCTTTTCTTCTTGAAACACGGCAGGTCTGTGTGATGTCTTTGGTCGCTGGGTGGGTGACAATGGATGCACACACACGAGGACGAGCCTCTGCGTAAGGCTTCACAGGCAAGCGTTTCGTCGTCGTTTGCAAAGTGCAAAGCGGCAAGCCCAGTGCGTCTTACTCCTTGCTAGTAACACTTCCACCTACACCTATATGAAGAGATTGAAGTAGCTATATGTTAATCATTCGGAATACAAGCATAAGTACAACCCTGGGGCTGTGCTGGGGCAGCGCGCAGCACAGGAAAATCCAGTAAGATCTTGACGTAATGGGTCAGGAAGTAGGCTGGCATACCGCACCACATCACTGCGATACATGCATACATGAACTACTGCAACAACTCGTTGTTCATCCGACTCTTGTTCGCTGCTTCCTGACGTTTATAATCTCAAACACGTAGGAACGAAAAATCGGAGCGAGACTCGCCACGGGTGTCCCCCTCTTCGGGTGCAATCCTATGTTCTTGCAACCTCCGCATCTGCTGGGGTTCCACCCGCGTCTTGCGGCACCCGACTACGGGCGCCTTGATTTGTGCGAACAACGGACGGGCCGGAAAAATTGTGGCTGCTCACATCTCGAGACTTCTGAAGTTCTGCTGGGGAATTCGGACGAACAGGTGGAGCGTACGACCGTTGCTGCACTCACGAACTCACGGCTCAATCTTCCCTCCAGAAGCTGAGCAAGAAACGCAGAGTTCATGTGAAAGCATCCAATGCAAAACCGCGCGTGAAACTCATGTTGCGTCAGACAGAGTCAGACAACTGATCTTTCGAGCAGTGCGCTGGTCCAAGTACGGCAGTAAGCCTCTATCCTCTTCTTGGACAATCGGCGCACGCGAACATCATCGGCTTGTCCGGGTGCACGCACTGGGTCTTCTTGGAGCATGTGCCGCACGGCACACTCTCGCCAATGAAGGCGGCCGCCGCCAATGGCTCTTCATCAAGTTCCGGTGCAAGCCCTCTTCTTGGACAATCGGCGCACGCGAACATCATCGGCTTGTCCGGGTGCACGCACTGGGTCTTCTTGGAGCATGTGCCGCACGGCACACTCTCGCCAATGAAGGCGGCCGCCGCCAATGGCTCTTCATCGACTTCCGGTGCAAGCCCTCTTCTGGGACAATCGGCGCACGCGAACATCATTGGCTTGTCCGGGTGCACGCACTGGGTCTTCTTGGAGCATGTGCCGCACGGCACACTCTCGCCAATGAAGGCGGCCGCCGCCAATGGCTCTTCATCAAGTTCCGGTGCAAGCCCTCTTCTGGGACAATCGGCGCACGCGAACATCATTGGCTTGTCCGGGTGCACGCACTGGGTCTTCTTGGAGCATGTGCCGCACGGGACACTCTCGCCAATGAAGGCGGCCGCCGCCAATGGCTCTTCATCAAGTTCCGGTGCAAGCCCTCTTCTTGGACAATCGGCGCACGCGAACATCATTGGCTTGTCCGGGTGCACGCACTGGGTCTTCTTGGAGCATGTGCCGCACGGCACACTCTCGCCAATGAAGGCGGCCGCCGCCAATGGCTCTTCATCGACTTCCGGTGCAAGCCCTCTTCTTGGACAATCGGCGCACGCGAACATCATTGGCTTGTCCGGGTGCACGCACTGGGTCTTCTTGGAGCATGTGCCGCACGGCACACTCTCGCCAATGAAGGCGGCCGCCGCCAATGGCTCTTCATCAAGTTCCGGTGCAAGCCCTCTTCTTGGACAATCGGCGCACGCGAACATCATTGGCTTGTCCGGGTGCACGCACTGGGTCTTCTTGGAGCATGTGCCGCACGGCACACTCTCGCCAATGAAGGCGGCCGCCGCCAATGGCTCTTCATCAACTTCCGGTGCAAGCCCTCTTCTTGGACAATCGGCGCACGCGAACATCATCGGCTTGTCCGGGTGCACGCACTGGGTCTTCTTGGAGCATGTGCCGCACGGCACACTCTCGCCAATGAAGGCGGCCGCCGCCAATGGCTCTTCATCAAGTTCCGGTGCAAGCCCACGACGAGGACAATCAGCACCTTATAGCGAAGGCTGCAAGCGTGTTGCGCTTGCACCCTCTACTGAGACTGTACTGCCACAGAACACAACAACTTGCGTGACTTGCGTATCTTGGTCAGGCACGCTTCCTGAAGCATGTGATAGTTTGCAACATGCACAAGGCTGGCAAACGTAAATCGCACGGCAGGAGTTTACATCACAAACATGCTCAAGCTCGAGAGGCCAGGGGAACAAAAGCTAAGGCAGCTAAGGCGGGGCAGCAGCACGGCGCATGACGATAATGAAGTGGCACGGACCCTGTGCTTCGCGCAACTTGCTGTGATCCTAGCAGATGCCGCGCCTGTCGACGCGATGTTCGTTCAGAAAGAACACGAACAACAGCAACGGCAGCAGAAGGGCAACCGTCTTGTACTTCATCGGGGTTCTTCCATCTTATTCCATCCGCGCCGTTTCTCGGGCCTTCCGGGCTTGCCCTTCTTCTGGAGCACTGAGACCAGCACAGGCAAACATCATCGGCTTGTCCGGGTGCACACACTGGGTCTTCTTGGAGTCAACAGAGGCCGCAGCGCGCGACCTTGTTTTCATGATTCAAAAACCGTACACAAGCTGGGCTACAAGATCTGTTCAACTTCGGAAAGCAAGCAAGAACACACATCTCTTAGGGCCAAGAAGTCCCTTAGAACACAAATTCTCAGGCCATTTGTTGCCAAAGGTTGGCCGGCCGAGGCTGCCGGCTTTTTTTGCGAACTGCGCACTCAAAACTGTTCGGGCAACTGCCGCCGACAAAGGGTTGCAGCCCAGAAGCAGAAGTGTGCTCTTCCTGCTGGACAAGACCACTCACTTGGGAAAAATGCTCCGAAGTACTGCTGCAGTCTCTGCCCTGCCTTGATCTCGCCGGGGTCCTCCGCATGATGCGTCGCAAGGTCAAGGTTGAAGTTGCAGCCACTGCCGAGGATGCCAGGAGCCTTAGACGGCTCGAATTTTGGGGCTAATAGGCAACAAAAGGACCCTTACACCTGGCACAAACCTGGCATGAACTGCCAACTGTAGGAGCTTGAGGACAAGTACTTGCTTCATCCGGAGACTCTTGTGCTCATGGAAGAGGACACAACAGGCATGCCTCTGAAGGTGTCACTCCCTGTGAAGTGGAATTCAGCGAGAACTCTTGTGGGCTATGGATGGGGCTCAGGCGATTTGGGGTTTGGGGGATTTGGAAATACTTCCGAACTCAAGACTCCTTGGGTGCATCGCACATGACTTGGGAATCCTGAAGCATTGGTGCCTTCTCCACAGTGTGCGAATCTAGCGTAGCCCGAAGCTTTGGTGCAAGGGCCCATGCGAATGCCGGAGCTCGAAAACAGAGAGCTTGCGGTGCTTCACCAAGCGACTGTGCCGGAGAGCTGCCACTCGCGCCTGCACGCTTCAGCGCAATGTCTAGGGGCTCGTCTTGCAGCGCAAGTGCCCATGCCAGCTCTCGAACCTCAACCTTAAACCCTACCTGAATCTCCGTTTACCTGTGCACTGGTTCCCCTTGTGCGATTCACCTTCTTGTCTGGACACCGTTGAATGGCTCAGAAGAATGGAAGCATGGGGTGTACTGCTCATGGGCAGATTCAGCGGCATGAAGCCGCTGAAAGCACTACAGTTGGCCTAAAAACACAGCCATCCTCTCGAGTTTCCCGAGCCCCAAACATCCTAAACACCCTCGAAGCCTCAGACCTCATGGCCCCGGAACCGACGATGGGCCTGGCAGGCCCGCTGCCGAAGGATGGCATGCAGACGGAAAGGCTTTCCTGCTCAGCCAGGGCGAATCCTCTTGCCGTATTTAGTCGTGTCGGGTTTGCTTTGTGCCCGCCTAACTTTGGGCTTATAGGGTCCTTGACTTAGGGTTTATAGGCAGTTAAGGGTTGGGTCTATCAGTATTGTAGTTCTCCTTGTGCTTCGAATCGGCCTATGCGTCTCAAATTGGAATCCTTGTTACATTGGTACTGCATGGCGCTCTGAAAGGTCTGGCGCTCACCATGCTTACATCTACCTCCGCATATCTCAGCATCACAGGCTTCTGTCTGCTGCTGCCTCCCTCTTTTCAGGGGCTCAGGGTGCCCGACAGCCTTGACGAGGCCACGTGCGGCGTGGAACCTGTCAAGAGGACCCTATGAAAACTGTGGCAACTGCAAAGCTAGAAGCACATTTGAATGTTTTTTAACCGCGATAAAAAAACTCTCAAATTTGCTTCTAACTTGGCTCTGCTGAATTCTGCTGAGTTCTGCTTTTCCTTTGGCACTCTGAAATGGCAACCTTTGAACTGCACGTGAAATGCCGGCACGCCTGTCGTGGAGAGCGCTGCAAAAGCCGTGACAGACGACATGGCCTTGCTGCAGTTGAAGAATGTCTAAGATTCTCGGCTTCAACATTTTAAAGAATATGCCCTCGTGGGGTGCAGGGTCCCCCTCGGGACCCTGATCTCAGGGTCCTACGATGCTTTCACCTGGGGCCTAGATCGTCTGGGTGTCATCTTGGTTGCCCCCTAGCTCGCCCGTCAAGTACTCACCAGCACATCCCCCCTTTTTCGGCCCAGAAACAAGCTCAAAGATTCCTTGCAGGTGTCCATTTTTGCTTCCTGCCTGCGAACGTTTTGGGTGGGCACTGAACAAGCCAACTTGCCCGAAGAGGCAATTAGATATACCCAAATGCTACGGTCAACGCAGTCACTGTTCCCCTGAGGCCCTGTGCCAAGCTGCACAAGCGAGGCGCGTGGGCCGTCGAGCTGCAGACGTGCCGAGCACTGCTCTGAGCCCGGTGTGATGGGTCAGCAGACGTCTGAAGCTCACTGCAACCGTGAAGACGAAGGAGTTCAAGCTTCAACTTGCTAGAACCCATCCTATTGCCCCACTGGCGATAGACTTTCAAGCGCATCCAAGAGTTTCCATGCTGAAGGCGACTGTTACAGCGATGCCTAAGCTAACCTCTGGTTCAACTGTACCAGAAAAACCCAAGATGCAAAGGCCTCCAGCTTTGTTGCTACCCACTCCAATGGCAACAAAGGAGGCTGGAATCTTGCGAGCACAGCAAACCGCTTTACCCCTTTCGGCCCCAAGCCGCCTAAACCCATCTCAAGCCTAGCCTGTTCTCTGCCGGTATTTTAGGACCCGGGCCTTAGGAACCTGAAATAGCCGACTAAAAAAGTGCCAAGAAATACTCAACAATTCCATAAACATTAAAAATACTGCAGTCGAAAAATTCCTAAATAGCTGAACTATACGTCGGACTCTAAATATCACGATGCCATGCACATTGAGGGCCCAGCACTTTCACTTTTCTGCTGACCTCGGTCGTAGCATGCCGATCTGATGCTAGCCACCTGTACGGGTCCATGCATGCAGCTGGGGTTGAAGGCGTTGTCGCGCCGAGCCAGTGTCTCATCTGTCATGTCCTGCCAGGACGGCCAGCAAAACACAGCAGCTCCCTGTTGAAACCACAGGGGCCTTGCTTAAAGAGCTCGCAGCGAGGCGACGCTCTTCTAGAAGCTCTACGATGTGTAGCAAGCAAGCTCCGTTTCAACACGCGGGCTTGGAGTACTCATGGTCAAACAGGTGAGATAGGGCACACGTCCTTTGCCCGAACCGGCTTCGCATAGCACCAGGGATGAGTGCAAAGCCTGCAAAGGCACTCGCAAGCACAAGCTCTGACTTCAGCCTCCTGCGACAGGCCAACAGATGAACATCAACGGATGCTGGCGCCCGCTAAAACACAGGCCGGCAGGACAGCTCCATCTCACGCAGGCACCGATGTGGGGAGACCCTGCCGTCTCGACTCAATGAAGCACTGAAATCAACCAGCACCACGCGCGTCGCACGCGCGTCGCACGCGCGTCGCACGCGGCACGCGTTGGATCGCTCTTAACCTCCACTTCATTGAGTGGCTGGCTCTTGCCGTGAGGCCTGCTCCTGAAGAACCTCGCACGGAGAAGAGATCAAAGCTATCAAGCGTAGACCATCTGCAGATTCACTACGGCTTATGTTCGGATCTTTTTGCAACAGTCTGCCTTGTAGATGGCAGCTTGAGCCTCAGTCATCTGCACAGGAACCTGCAGCAGTCGCACTGGTGGCACGTGCTGTTGCCAGTTGCAAGGGGCACCACTGACATCACCGAAGAGCCGAAAGAGATCCGTCGGCCTCGACCTCTTCTTTTGGGACCAGCTGTACAGCCTCCCAGTGCCATCTAGACCCCCAATATCCCCCAATATTCACCCTCCCAGCAGAACACGACATGTCGCTCCATGTCACACCACAGCCTCGCCGCTATCTCGGCGCAGGGTAATCAGCTGCAGCCTCAGGCAGCTCCGTTCTTTAAAAGGCTTTGGGCCTCAGAAGGCCCTTTAAAGAGCCCGGAAACCTTGAGACTTCTGGGGGGAGTTTCGGAGTTTCCCCATATCCCTCCCCCACTCCTCCATGGCCCCTTCACCTCTGAGCCCGCAGCAGCCTCCGAAGGCCGGCTCGGCCTGCACACCAGGCCCTTTCTTTCCCACCACCCTGTTCTTAAGGGTAGTTAGATGGTACCCCCTTAAGGGGGGGTAAGGGACCATATTAATGAATATTTTGGGCCCATGAAGCTACCCTCAGACTGTGAGCCACAAGGCATACTGTGCAAAGCGCTTTTCTGGCCAGGTGGCTGTGCGCTGCATTTTCGTGCACACCTGCCTTCCTCCGTGTCTGGAAAGCGTTGTCGAAAGTCCTGCCAGATCACAGGCGTCTTTGGGAAGTTACATGACATCTGAAGCATACTGAAGCCATCTCTCCTGCAAGCTGCCAGCACAGTCGGGCTCAACCTCTGCCAACATTTAGCTAATTTGTGTAGAGTGAGACGACCACCCTGCTGTAGCTGCAGAACTTGTCTGCCGGTGGGCAAGTATTAGGTGCGATGGGGCCCAGGCAAACTGCAGAATGGAGTGCACGTCGTCCAAAGAGTTCCTCGGTGTCTCAAGGATATGCACGTAACCATGCTGCAACGCAACGCCAGCATGATAGTTGCCCAGCGGCTCAATGGGCGTCCCCGTCAGGGCAAGCCTGAACGGAGCACTGGACAGACCTCATCGACGCAGGAGACCACATGCCATGCGGCAATCACAGTGATGTCGCGCCGCGTGTGGCGCACATTCAGCCTGTCCCGTCTGTAGTAGCGTGCACCCTGGGGCTTTCACACTTGACCGCGATGGATGTTTGCGTGGCGTGGTTCTTGATCGACTGTGCCTCGTAGGTGGACAACTCAGCTTGGGAGCACCTCTTCCAACATGCGTGCCTCGTCCAGAACGATACATGTCCAGCCTCTCACGGACGAAACGAACAGAAAGAAAAACAGGCATGCTCATGCAAACTCTGCACATGCCACTCTGAGCAAATCAAGATGAGCTGACTTTCTTTGATGAACATCTCCTGGTTTTGCAAGAAGCTTTCCTAAGTAGGCAGGGCACTGGCAAATCTCCCGCATCTCGGGGTCTGGGCGCGAATCCGAATCTGATCACTGCATCCACTCTCGGCCTCTTGGCCAAAGGTAGAAGCTGGCGAAAGCGACCCACTCAGACGCAGGCATAGCTTGTGACCACCACGTCATAGAGCTCGAGAATGGGGCCTGTTCGGCAGCTCTCAAGTGAAACCGAAGACCCGCAATGCAGCCTGGGAGGGGGCCATTGGGGCAACGCAAGCTTCCCGCCTTTCCAAGCAGCTGTGTTTACCTGCCAGGGCTGGCTGTGCTCACCACGACCCGAAGTGGAGCCCGCTGCCAACACAAACTTGGGCAGTCCCCCTTTTCTTGCAAAAGAAGCAAAGGTGCGCAGAGTTGGCTCAGGCTGTCCCTCCTCAAGCAGCCGAGGGCAGGGGGATTTTCTGCTGCGTCATGCCAGCTTTACCCCACAGCCCACTACCACACTGCTCATCAAACTCAGGCAGGGGCTCGAAATCCTCATCCATCAGGCTTCCATTCGGGTCACACTTCTCCGCAATCGCTGCCTGGTAGTTCCTTTCAATCTCATGGATGGCTGGTATCACCTCAAGATACCGCTCCGGCGAGAACTGGGAAAGTTCCGCAAACACGCCCGCCATGAGGTTGTACTTTGCGTAGGCTTCCTTCAGGTCAGGGCTGTTCTCAAGAGCTCCAGAAGCCTCCTCATAGACGAACTTGTCGATGGCCTTGTAGAAGACATTGATGGCCACCTGCAGCTTCCGGATGATGCCCAGCGCCATCTTGCCAGCCTCGTGCTCGTTCTTGGCATCGCGCGCGAAGCCAGCGGCCTGCTTGGACTCGATCTCGGCCTTTGTGGCTTTCGAGACGGCTCGGTCGAAGCTGGCCTGGAGGCTTCGGAGCTCCTGCTGCGCCTGCCTGGCGGTCTGCTCAGCATCGGCCGCTGACTTCGCCGTGGCGGCCTGCAACTTGTTGGCAGACAGGACTTTGGTCTTCTTCTCCATCATGTCTCGCTCTGCCGCATCCCGCTCCGCGATCTTGGCATCCCGCTCATCCTTCAGAGCTTCAAGGTGCCTCTGCATCCTCGCGAGCGTTGCAGCAATGGCCTCTTCCATCATGGTCACATTCTCCTGCATCCCTTCGGCAGCTTGACTGAGACCGTTCCACCTAGCAAGTGCGGCCTCAAACTCTTCGTTCTGAGACATGTGCTGGGAGGCCGCCGTCTCAGCCTGCACCAAAGCCTGGCGACTGGCCTCCGCATGAGCCTGTTTTTCGACCGCCTTCGCCTTCATCTCCTCCATCAAGGACATCTTTGTTGATGCTGTCGAATCCGCAATTGCCTTTGCAGAATTCGCAACTTCTTCGGCTCGCTGAAGATCCTGCAGCTTTGTCTCGGCACGCTTCTGTGCCTTCTGCAAAGCCCGGCTGATCTCACGCGGGACGACCGTCGCGCCCTCGTCCGAGTGATGCGCTACGTCCGCCAGGTGGCGCGCCGCAATCGCGACTCCCAGCAGCACAGCAAAAACGCGCATGACCGAGGACACCATTGTGAACTCTCAAGTTGTCAGAAAACGAAATGATGGGTGTGCGCGACGCTGTTTGAGATAGAAGCTCGAGGCATGTCGTGGCCGAGGCAGCTTCAAGTCTCAAGAATTCTCAAAACACTGGCAAACGCTGCTGCAAACATGCCGCAAACATCTTCTAATTCCAAATCGCTGGAGCTGGCTGAGGCTACGAGCCTCGTATCGAAGGTCACAGGCGCGTTCACCGTGCCACTGCCAAACCTGAGGAAAACCTATCGAAGCTATCGTGACTCTCGACGATGGTGCTGAGCTCTAGCTATCGCTGAAGGCGTTCTGCTGCGCGGCTCGAGATCCGAGGCTCTGGCCCGAAGCGGCTCTTGCCACTGCGCGCTTACCTGACACACACACACACACACACACACACTCTCTCTCTCTCTCTCTCTCTCAAACAAACAAATAACAAAAAAGGAGAAAGAGGCAGAGAGGAAGAGAGAAGGCGAAAGCAACGGCAGTAAAGTCAAAGCAGCGAGCCCCCCCCCCCCCCGACCCTCCTACCCCCAACCTCCCGGAGCTCTCTTTGCCAAACGCTGTCATCACCTCATGGACATCGAGCCACCGGAAGAACCGGATGCACGGCTCCCTGCTGTACTTCACTGAGCACGAGGCCACGGATCAGCATGGCTGGTGCCAGTACCTGCTGGATAGCTCCGACGTCTCCCCAAAAAAGCTCGCTTTTTCGGATCCTGAATCGCTCCAGGACCCTGGTACTGTCGGCGGTGTAGCTGTGTGAGGCCACCACCAAAGCACGCTCAAAGCGAGCTGGTCCAGCCAGCTCTGGGACCTTAAAGACCAGAGGAAACCCACACGGGATTCTCTCAGACACTCACCCGCAGGAGTGTCGAGACTCTCGGCCCAACCATCTGCAAAGTTTGCATGGCCATTGAGCTCTCCGGAGCCTTTTCCTCCCAAACCCATCGGGTGAACTATGTGAACTGTGCCGAAGCAGGATGCTTGCCGTCACAGTGTGACCTCGTGTTTGAATTGGCACCTGGGGCCCTTTCAGGGGCAGATGCAAAGTCCGAACATGAGGGTAAACACCGATAGGCCAGAGACTCGAGTGCATGCTTGTCGACACCGTACTTCTTGTCTTACCGTCAACAGCAGAAAGGCAGTCGCTGGCCAGGAGGCGTTGTTGGCGCACCGCTTCGCGAAAACAGCCTAAGAGGGTACGGAATCTCTTGGAGATCACAGCACCCAGATGCCCGTTGATGCCGCTGAAAATCTGTTCTGTGCCGACGCAGTTCAACTTTCACCAGAATTCGCGTAATCACGAGGCATTCACGGCTCCATCACTCCTCTTCGTACTCGTCCTCGTCGCATTCGTCATCCTGGACACACTGACAGCGGCCACCAACATATGTCAGCCTCGAAACATCTGTGAGCCCAATCTCGGCCCTGCGAAAGAAGGTAGGCACCCATGAGCTGTGCATACACCGCCCCAACCACATCTTCATGCGACGATGTCCCTGTTGACACAACAAACCGGCCATCAAAAGCAAGGGCAGCGGCCTGCAGTAAAGCGGGCGGAAACCCCTTAACTTAAATTCCTTCAGCCTCTGGAATTCCCAGCTGTTTCGGAACTGAAGCCAGATAGGGAGTTCCGAGCTTCCTTTAAGCTTCCTCGCATTTCCTAAGCCATTTTCTCCAAGTCCTGAAATTCCAGGAGACCTTTAGAGATCCCAAAGTTCCTCTAACTTCTTCTACAAGTGGGAACTGACTAAAGAAATCCCAAAAAACTCCTGAAGCTTAAAGCTTACGTGTTCGAAGAAACTCAAAGAGTTTGAGGGGAATCGAGGAATTCAATATCCTGACGTTCCTTAAGTTGCGAAAGTTTTTCGGACGGTTAAGTAAGTCATAAATCCCTTACATGCCTGGGAATTTGAGGGGGGGTGTGGGCGAGATGCCCAGGCCCATGCAACCTGCTTGGCTTAGAGGCGACACCGTGATTGAAGCCAACTTCATGTAGAAGCCGAAGAAGAATGCAAGAAACTACATTGATCTCTTCACGGTTTCGGAGCTTTCTGACTGTCGCGCAATGCTTCCTGAATGCCTTGTGTGACTCCCTTGCCCTGAATGTTGCCTCTGTTTCCTGACTGTTGCCTCGCTGGCATATGAAGTAGGGTATATATTTCTTGTATACACTCACCAATATTAAAAAGGAACCTTATATACACTCACCAAAAACAGTAATATAAACCCTGCTTCATTCTATCAGGAAGACACCTTCCTAGAGTGACGCCTCCTGGGAACTCAATGAGGAGGGCCCCCCCCCCATCACCCACGGTGTGACCTTAAAGCCTTTAGGGTTTAGGGTTTAGGGTTTAGGGTTTAGGGTTTAGGGTTTAGGGTTTAGGGTTTAGGGTGAGACATCAGGAAGAAGCCCCCCTCAAGTCGCCTCAGGTTGCAACAAGAACTCCCGGAAGCTTCAAGGTCCAATCCTAGAAGTTCTGCTTCCGAGTCGCTTTTGTGAAGCCCAAAGCCCTAAAGCCCTACACCCAAAGCGTGCATAACACAGCTGCGGCGGTCCCTCACAATGAACAGGACGTGCTTGACTTCCGGCTCCGGTCCGCGACGCATGCGCCTTGGCTTCTTCAGTGTGACCTACTGCGGACAAGGTGACTTTTTGGCTCTCTGGTTGGGGGTGTTATGAAGCCGTTTCGGGCTTGTTGTTTTGGAGGTTGGAGGCGGGACAAGCAGACTCTTACGTCACAGCAACGACCCATGAATCTAAGCATGGGGCCGTCAATGCTACTACGACTGCTGTCTGGAGGTAGATACAAGCCAGCTAGGAGACTTTGCTCCACGTTCAGGATAGCCACCACGGGACAAAACAATAGGGTTGCGAGCTGAGGGTGCGACTGCGGGCTTGGAGCTCTAAGGCTTACCTAGTGCGCACTACTGGCCCAAACTATTCGCAAAAATTGCACCATCAAAAGCTGCACTACCTTGATTTTGGCACATGCTTTCAATGCTGGCGGCTGGGGATGTTTTTGGTTTACTGTACGGCTCCGGACTTTCTTTGTTTGATTGCTGGGCGCTGTCTCTGATATCTGAGCAACTTACTGAGCGCGACTGCACTGCGAACCAGCACATCATTGGGACGAGCTCGACTTTCTTGTTTGGGCTCTGGGGTTTAAGAATTGGGGTTTCGACTCTTACGCTTGCGCACAGCAGGCGTTACGCAGGCACTGTTTAATGGATCTTCCTGCTGCAAATCTGTAAGTAGTTTACTTGAGAAGCTTTGTCCGATGCCTTGCCAAGCCTCCGCCCTCCAAGGCGTGGGATCGTCAATGTGATGGGATTCTTGCTCATGCCTCAGCAGTTGCTTGGCAGGCTCTGGAACTAAACCCTAAACCCTAATCCCTAAACCCTAATTTTCCCATTCTCAAGTTTGCACACATTACCTATAGCTGCACACAGAACCGGAAAGTCCAGGACAAGCCTGGCGCCGCAACGTGTACAGTATGCTGCAGAGAATGCGACCGACATGCAACCCCTCCCAGCCCAAAGCTCTCGAGAGCCACCTTGAGGCCATTCCTATCCATTCCTGCTGCCGTGCCGCTTCTCATGTACATGCTGCGTGGGGAAGGGCAGTCCGTCGGCACTTCTTGAGGCACTCCTCAGGAAGCGGCACCACCATGCACCACCACTCTCACTCATCGCTCGCCGCTTGGGATGCAGGCACCTGTTTCCTTTCAGTGTACATACCACCTGCAAGCTGCAGCTGCTAGATCTAGCCGACCTGCATGCGTGCAGCAGAGCATCCATTTGTCTCAGGAGGCTGAGAGGAGCGACACTCTTCAAGCGCTTGTTGCGCTGCATCACGCACCTCGGCTTTACCCTGGGCTTTGCCCTCGGCTTTGCCCTAGGCTCTGTAGCAGACCACTCGACGTCGCAAAGCTGAAGCATGCGGAAGCTCAAGTGCATCCAGGCGGCGTGCGGCCAGTCAAACTCCGCGAACTTCTGAAACAGCTTGAGGGTCTCTTCGTTCGTTCCGTGGTACTGTGTCAGCAAACGCATGCCAAGGAACCGCAAAGGGTCACCTGGCTTGATTAGCAGATGCACATCTTGCCTTTGAGCTGCAAAACAGATCAACAATTATCACTGCTGCGATGTCCTGAGGACATGAGGCTCTCACATCGATCGTCCGCAAGATCGCGCAGAAAGGTCCAGAGGCCTTCCTGGGCCCAAAAGCCGGCAAAACGGCAAAACCCATCTTGGCGGGCAACGGCCATGCTGACGACTTTCGTATACATCACTTTTGCTTCTTCCCCCGCCCCCCTGCGCTCTCTCTCCGAATACAAATCTGAGGAGTCGCCGTCAACCCATCAACAGTGGCCGCCGTGGAGTGCAATCGCTCCATGGACTCGGTGATAACCTCTCCAGGATGAACAGGAGCTGCCAAATGTGCCATGCACACGACTTCCAAATCATCTCGCAACATGCCCCTGAGGGCCACTCCGTGTCGGCGCGCTCGTGGAGACAAGCATCCAGGTCCGTTTCGTCAACGAAGTGTGGGCGCAGTCCTGGCATCACTGGGCCAAACCCCCTTTGAACCCCGGACAGGACCAACAGGGTCGTAAGTTTGGTCCTCAACCCTGAAACACAAGCCATTGAAAGCCCTCTCTGTACGACTTCATTGCGATTTGTGCTCTAACTTACAAGGCCAAAAAAAATGTCACGCCCACCCGCCAAGCCATACCCCCAACGTCTTGCGCTTGAACCAAGTGACTACCGGCGACCTCAACTTCCCGGAATATGGTATTGCAATATGATCATATAAAACTCATAGATCAATGTGCTAATATTGTAATGTAGCAATATATATATATATATATATATTCATTTAGTCATAGAGTCATAGAGCAATATAGTCATGTAGTCATATGGTACTATAGTCATATAGTAATATAGTGATATAGTAGCATAGTACTATAGTAACCTAATCATATACTAACTACTATAGCCACATCGCAACGCAGAGGTACTATACTCATTTAGTACCTACGAATATCTTCGTATGCTACTGCAAATCACATCATGTGCCCTAAAGGCGCTCCCTTCAAGGCCCCCTGCAAGGCCCGCAATCGGTTTCGTGAAACCGGTGGTCTCCTGCATCGGCTCTCCTGAGTTGCTTCGGGGTTTAGGGTTTAGGGGTTTAGGGGTTTGGGGGTTTAGGGGTTTAGGGGTTTAGGGGTTTAGGGGTTTAGGGGTTTGGGGGTTTAGGGGTTTAGGGGTTTAGGGTTTAAAGACATCTCTGCCTAGTGGCGCCCTGAGAGCTTTTTTGGGGGGGTTTACGATAATAATGGGGTATCTGAGTGGGGTCCTGTCTATAAGGGGATCCTATATTTGGGGCTCAGGGGATCCTATATTTGGGGCTCACTCTGTTCGGAGTACCACTATGTTCGTAACCTCCCATTTGGCTGTAATACCGACTTGTCCCGTTTCCTTGGGGAGCTCTGTTTAACCTCCTCGACTTCTAACCTTTTCCTGTCGCGCTTCGATTCAAGATCCCACTGCTTCCTTAAAGGCCTCAAACCTCGAGGACAGCGGCAGCCGCGGAAGGACTTGTATCACTTGTGGGGCGGGAGAAAACATCTTCCCTAAACCCTAAACCCTAAACCCTAAACCCTTTTGCAGCGAGCCTCGTGCGCCAGCCCTAAACCCTAAACCCTAAACCCTAAACCCTAAACCCTAAACCCTAAACCCTAAACCCTAAACCCTAAACCCTAAACCCTATGCGGAGCTGCAGTTGGTATTGTAGAAAAGAGTTGGTGTTGA